ATATCTTTATATTGTGGAAACATTCACAAGTGAGCATGAAGTTACACTGGCCTTTTCTTAGAGAGAGAGACGTTTTTGCTATAGGGCACACGCACTTGCCAGAGAGACAGAAAATGAGACATTACCCCCCAGGGAAGATGGCCACATCACAATCTCTTCTCCTCCAATTGTCCTCTTGGGATTTTGGGCACACACGCATACACACCAGGCGTAAATTTCAAACTTCCAGGTCCTAGACTCAAACCTCCAGGTCCTAGACTCAAACAGCAGTTAGCCATGTGGGGTCCAGAGACATAAGCATTCTGGCATCTGCTGGTTCCTGATGTCAAACTTGCTGGGGTTTTTTGTTTTTGTTTTTGTTTTTTATAAGAGATTTTTGTTATAGGGTGCACTCCCTTGCCAAAGAGACAGAGAGAGACAGAGAGACCGAAAGCAAGAAATCAGCCCCCAAGGGTGTGGCCATGCTGCAATCCCTTCTCCTCTATTCCCCTCACAGGATTTTGGGCATGCATGCACACACACACACTGTGAGTTTAAAGTCATTGAATCCAGGACTCAAACCATGGTCAATGATGTAGGAATCCAGGGATATAAAAATTACACCATTTGCTGGTCCCCAAACTTGCATCTAATAGTAGCAGACAGCAGTCTCTAGAAATGTGATTTTAGACCCATAGCAGGAACTTCTGGAAGCCTGTTAGAAATGCAGAATCTGTGGCCAGGGAGTAGCACAGCAGTAATGCAACTAGAATATGTGAAGGTCCCAGGTTCGCTGCCTGAGGCGTCCCTCTACACTCTGGGTGTACACATATGCCCATGAGCCTCATTGGCTAAAGCTGGGCATGAATTGCAGTGTGAAGACACTATCAGGGCTGCCTCTTTCTCTCTCCTCTCTAAGATATAAATGAATAAACTTAAAAAAAGAAAAAAGGAAAAGAAGACTGTCAGTCCATGGGCTAGGACTACTGAAGCTGAATCTGTGTGATTAACAAGAGCCCCAGGTGATTTTCATGTATGTAAAAATAAAATCTAAGAAGCTGGATCTAGAGCAAAAACCAGCTAACCTGCACCTGAGGCTCAGTGTGGATCTAGGTTGTTTTCCCAGCAAGACTGGCCTACAGGGCAGGACATGATATTTAGAAGTAGGCTGAATAGGGAACCAGCAGTTAGCGTAATGGCTATGTCGCTGGACTCCCACGTAGTCGACCGCGGTTCGCATCCTGGACCTGTGGGCTTAAAACACACCAGGCGCATGTGCGTGTGTGCCCAAGATCCCGAGAGGAGAATGGAGGAGAAGGGATTGCGGCGCGACCATCCCCCCTGGGTGGTGATTTCTCGCTTTCTGTCTCTATGTCTCTCTTTGTCTGTCTGGCGAGCGCATGCGCCCCTATAGTGAAAAACCTCTCAAAGTAGGCTGAATAAATAGTAAGGTGGTGGAGTTCTATGTGGCTAAGGATAGAGAAGGGCGAGGCAAGAAGGAAGCTTGGAGAGTTGTAAGTCAATTTCCCATGTTAGGTCATCTTTACTAACCCTCTTTTAAGAGAGGAATTCCTAGAATTCAAGGCCTCCCTTGAGTTCCCAAATTTAACAAAGTACCAAATGTGCAGGTTCCAGCCACAGAGGTGTCAGTTTCCTCAACTATTAAGGGAGGAACTGGGTGGGGGGGGGGTGTCTGTGGGGGTGGTGGCATGGAGGTTAAGGCACTGAATCCCACATGGCTGACTGCATGATTCAAATCCCAGACCCAGCAGCTTAAAAAATACGCTGGGTATATGTGCATGTGTGCCCAAAATCCCAAGAAGTGAATGGAGGAGAAGAGATTATGGTCTGGCCAGTTCCCAAGGGGATTTCTCAATTTCCCTCTGTCTGTCTCTCTCAGGTGTGTGCATATGCCCTATGGCAAAAATCTAAAAAAAAAAAAATAATATAAATAAATAAATAAATAAAAAGTTTGTTTGGCATTAGACTCTTTGGTTTCTTCTTTCTGATCTCGTTTCTCGTCCATGCCTCACTCTGTCCTGTCTCCTATCTGTTGTACACATACCCTTGGGAAGAGAGCCAATTTCTTTAGGGTCAAATTTATTAAAAAAAAAATTTATTGACAGTTATTTTGGATAATTTCAACAAAACAAGACATGTTTTTCCCAATTATATTAATAGGTAAAAGCAGACTTTTAGTGAATTTTCTGGATAATAATTGTAAGGAAATAATTGAAAAGATTGCTAGAGTGCCTTCTGGGCTACGTTTTACATCCATTGTTTAAGTATTGAATAGCATAAGAAGTTATCAAGTAAGAAGAAAGTAACATTCCACTGCTCTTTTAACAAATACTTAGCAGACGTTTCCAGCCAGAATTATGAGATATCAATTCTAAACCTGTTATCAATGGCAATATCCTTAATATTAATATTGACTTCTTCAATGGATCACAATGACCTATATTTAGTACAGTCAGCAGATAAGCATTTGTCACTGTAACTAAAAACTCTCCTGAATAAGCCTAAGTTTCCATTTTAGTTTAGGTTTAATTATACAATGCCTTAGAGGAATAATTTGTTTTTGTTTTTGTTTTTGCTTTTTTAATTTTGCGAGAGGGCACGTGCACTCACCAGAAGGAGAGAAAGTGAGAAATCACCCACTATAGAGAATGGTCATGTAGCAATCTCTTCTCCATTTCTTGCTCCTTTCAGGATTGTGGCCACACATCTATGTTATCAGCCAGCATGTTTCTTAAGCTGCTGGGTCCAGGACTGAAATTGCACAGTTGGCTGTGTGGGATCCAGCCACCTTAACCACCATGCCACTGGCTGGCCCAGTGGAAGAAAGGAATATTAACATAAAGAAGGTTTTTGGTAAACCTTTAAAGTATAGCTTTACCATAACTTCAGTATAACTTCAAAGTTACAGCGATTATGAATTATTTCTATTTTTCTAACCTATGTTAGAAATCTTAGCAAAAGATTTGATTACTCGGATTTGTTATGTTATCTGCCATGGTCTCCTACCTGGAATCAGCCCCTCTAAAAAAGATCTCAAGTATTTATATGGCATTTTTCCTACAGAAATAACCAAATAATATTACTGAGGGAGTGGGGCGGTCATTACGCCAAGATGATAAAAGTAGATCTATTCTAAGCTCATTGGCTAAGTACCTTCCCCAGAGAGCCCCCTATTTCATTTTCAGAGACTAAATTCCTTCCAGTAAGGTATTGTGCATTGATTCATGTTCCAAAAACTCACAAGAGGTTGACTTATACCTCCAAGGCTGACAAACTTACTTAGATGAAAAATATACCTGAACCAAGAAAGATTGTATCTACTCGGGTCCTAGAGGCCTTTGGAGAGTAGATGAATGGCCCATTGTTGCTTAAAGATTGGGGAAAGCCTTAGAAAAATTTGTGTCACAGTTTGACTCAGGAAACACCTGCTTTTCAACGTGTCTCTGTTCCCTGGGGAGGTAGGACCCCAGAGGAAGACCTCAGTGGCAAATTATTTGGATTAACTCTTCCATGCATACAAAAAGTAGATATCAACATGTAGAAAGATTTAGTTTTACTCATTAGGCAATACGGCACCATGCGGCTAGTACCCATGTCCTTTATCCCTGGGCACAGAAAGATCTGAGATTGGCCTGAAGAGTAAAACAAACAAACAAACAAACAAAATCTCATGGCTCTAAAACTAGCAAGTGTTTTAAAATTTTACTGAGAATGTTATGTAAATATCCTTAATATTAATATTCGTTTCTACAATAGATCACAATGACCTAAATTTATGACACTCAGCTTATCTTAATAAATAAACATTATACTCAGCAGATAAGCTGAGTGTAATAAATAAACATTAACTCTCATATACTTATTTTTTAACTTACTGTAATGTGTGATGTGGGTGTGGGGACTTTTTTTTTTTTTTAAGAATTATTTATTTAACATTTATTTATTTATTTATTTTAATTTGACCAGAGAGGGACAGAGAGCGAGCGAGAGAGAGAAAATAAGCCACTAGGTCCGGGACTCAAACTGCAGTCTGCCATGTGTGAGTCCAGCACCCCTAACCACCATGCCACCTGCCAGCACCGTGGGGCCATGTTAATATGTCTGATGTGACGTATATCAGGCACAGGCAATGGAAGTCTTCAAAAGGCCTTTTCACTTACGTATCTGCTCTGCAGAGAAAATATGTTCCTTATTTGATATTGGTAAGCCTAGGAATAATAAAATTATAAAAGTTCAAGTGCAGTGCTTGAAGAAGACAAATGATAAACTTTTGTTTACAAGAGAAAAACAAATCAAAACTTTTTATTGTATTGTCTGGAAATAGTTCACTCTAGTCTGTATCCGTTCATTTAGTCGTCATCAAAAGAGCACTTTGCCTAAAAGAAAGGACTGACAAGTGTGCAGAATGTGCACAATCTTCTGTGAAGTTGTGATGCATCATTAGTTTGTATCTGTAAGTTATTGCTATAAATGTTACCCATATTTTTTGTTATACACAACTTTATACTTTGAAGCTCTGCAACTGAATTTGCAACTGAAATTTATTTTGCCAAGGTTTTCTGAATGAACTGAATAAAGCTTCTGTTGCAGCATGAAACAAAAAAGAAAGAAAGAAAGAATAATTGGACATACTGGTGGCATGGTGATTAAGGCAGCTGAATCCCACCTAGCTGACCCAGCAAGTCCTGGACCCAGCAGCTTGCAAAATATGCTGTGTGCACGTCCATGCATGCCCAAAATCTCAAGAAGAGAAAGGAGGAGAAAACACTGTGGTGAGGCCATCCCCCTCGGGGCAAGCTGTCTTACATTCCCTGTTTCTGTCTCTTTCTGTTTTCTTTGGCAAGCACACAAATCCTATGGCAAGTGAAAAAAAGAATAAAGATTACATCATCATCCACCAAGTTAAAATAATTGCTAACTGTAAGCCGCAAATCTGGCAACAAAATACTGTAACTATCCAACTAAGTCCAAGAAGAATATAAAAGAACTTCACCACTAACCTTTCCTCTTCTAGGCTCTGGTCTCCAGGTGAAGTGGGAGGATTAAGTGAAGAATTCAGGATTATGGCCCTTTTCTTTCCTACTGAAAGCTCCACCCACTCAAAATATTAGCCAATGAGCATTCTAGTTTGCAAACACATGCCTCTGAGGTTTCACTTTACACCCATTGCTTTTGTATGTAATAGTACATCCAGTTACCCAAGGAACAAGAAAGATTCTACTGGCTTTTTTAACAAATACTTGCCAAGTACTCCTTTGTGCCAATGTTTTCCTCCTTGGCTCTACAGAGGTGGTCACGATAGACCATATTCCTGCACCCATGGTACTTACACTTTGATTGTAAAAGGCAGTATAAATACATTTTTTAAAAATTGCACTTTGGGGACTAGCAGTTGGCATAATGGCTATGTCATTGGACTCCCATGTAGCTGACCATAGTTCAAGTCCTGGACTCGGTGGCTTAAACTCGCGTTGGGTGCATGTGCATGTGTGCCCAAGATCCCAAGAGGAGAATGGAGGAGAATGGATTGTGACATGGCCATCCACCCTTGGGGGAGGGGGGGTGATTTTTTGCTTTCTTCTCTCTGTTTCTCTCTTTCTGGTGAGCACATGTGCCCTATAGCAAAAACCTCTCCAAAAAAAAATGCATTTTGTTCAAAACAATATTAGCAGCAGTATTTTAGGTAATTTTAACTTGTGATAAGTGAAACGTATGACAACACAGACACGTTGTGGTAGCAGAGTGATAAGGCTCCGTAATGCTGAAGCCACGTGGGAAGGTCTTAGGTTCACAGCCAAGCTTTCCTCGTACATGTCTGACACACGTATGTGCCCATGATCCTAACTGGCTGAGGTCGGGAGTAGAATGTGAAATACCCTCTTGGGGTGCCTCTCTCTGTTTCCTTCTTTCTTGGGAGAAGTAAATCACTTAAAAACAAGAGAACTGTATGACAATAAGGTTATGAGGCAAGGCAGGGAGGAACTGGGAATGCTCTGTTATCAGTAGCTACACCACCTGTGAAGTTACGCAGTGTTATTTGAAAGTGGTCTAAGATTTGTTGGAAATATATACTACAAACTCTAGGGCAATTGCTAAAAATAAATATTTTTAAAAAGTATAATAGGCCAAGAGGGGATAGAAAATGGAACCCTATGAAACGGTCCATTAAAACCAGAGAAGGGGGCGGGCAGGTGACGTAGTGGTTAAGGCGCTGGACTCCCATATGCTGGACCACAGTTTGAGTCCCAGACCTAGCGCTTAAAACTCACACTGAGCACATGTGCATACGTGCCCAAAATCCCAAGAGGAGAGTGGAAGAGAAGGGATTGCAGTGTGGCCATTTCCCCCCGGAGGAAGATTTCTCACTTTTTTTCTGTCTCTCTGTGTGTCTCTGGTGAGTCCATGCACCCAAAATCTCTCTTAAAAAACAAACCAAAAAAAAAAAAAAAAAAAAAAAACCAGAAAAAAAATCTCTTTAAAAAAAATAGAGAAGAAAAAGAGTAGAAGACAAAAAATAATAAGGAAAACAGATAGCAGTTAAACACATGGGAGATGTAAATATAACTACATCAATGGTTACTTCAAATGTGAATGGTCTTAAAAATATACTAATGAAAAGATATATCATTATGAGAGGATTTTTTAAAAAGGCCCAACTATCTGTTGTCTACAAGCAATTTGCTTAAAAAATATAGATGCACGAATGGATTAAACAGATTAAAAATGTTAGATGGTGCTACATGCTGTGAAGAAAATAAAATAGGGGATGAGAAAGAGGAATATGGCACCTGGGGAGTGCTACAGACCTCATAACCAGAACAGGATTCCAAGTGAGAATGTCCCTGCTGATGGTACAAGTAGCCTGCTGAGCAACGCCCTGGGGCAGATCATTTGTGTTAGAGGAATAAAAAGAACATTCAACAAACAGGGAATACTAGCAAAGACAAAGGGCCACCTTGGCTATTTGCTGTGGACATTGTGCTGGGGGCTGGGGAGGGGGATTACATTCTGCTCTGCTCTGTCCCCTGGATGGCTGGCCCGTATAGACTGCCCGAACCAGTGATGTGGTGCAACCCAAGTCTGATAATTACCCAAACTTTCTGTTCTGAGCTGATAGCTGCCTGGGCTTTCTGTTCCCCTGTGAGTTAGCTGCCCCTCCCTCCTGAACTGTTGAGCAGGATGAAAACCTGCTTCTCTGCCAGCTCTGTATTAGGGCGGACACTGAGCCCTTTTTCCCTGATAGGACACTCTAAGAGTGCTGAAACTGCCCTTTCCTGATTCACCCATAAAAGACTGTGCCCGGGAACCAGCAGTTAGCGTAATGGCTGTGTCGCTGGACTCCCACGTAGTCGACCGCGGTTCGCGTCCCGGACCTGGTGGCTTAAAACTCACGCCGGGCGCGTGTGCGTGCGTGCCCAAGATCCCGAGAGGAGAATGGAGGAGAAGGGATTGCGGCTTGACCATCCCCCCTGGGGGGTGATTTCTCGCTTTCTGTCTCTATGTCTCTCTCTGTCTGTCTGGCGAGTGCACGCGCCCTATAGCGAAAATCTCTCTCAAAAAAAAAAAAAAAAAAAAAAAAAAAGACTGTGCCCAACTCTCAGCTGGGGCCACAGACTCAAGAGTGTTAAGTCCTCCGTGTCCGCTAACATAATGAAGACAGGGTTCTTTTTCTCTCCAGAGTGTTGCGTTTTCGTCCCTCCGTGTCTGTTTTTCTGCAACACCAGGCCAACTAGGGAGAGAGTCTGGTGTTTCTTTGGGTACCCAGTCTGCTAAAGCCTGCCTGAGAATGTGGCTGTGTGCTGGGTCCCACAGCTCAGTGCCACACCTTTTGTTATTGCAAACATCAGTGACCACCGTGTTCAGCTTGCCTCTTGTCCCAGACACTGGAGCCTGTGCAACTGCCCCACCGGTCCCTGGCTGTGCTCTTTAACCCTCCCCGAGTCCCATGTCTTCCCTTGCTCTTGTCCCATGTCATATTTGGGTTCAACCCTGAACACTGTAGCATGCTAATATTTTTTGAGGATAAATAATTGCATTCCTGATCTACTCAATTATCAGTCTAGTGACTCATGAAAACGGCACAGTGGTGATGGTGGGAGGTTTAAGACTAAATAGAGTCTGCATCAAAAAAGGTAATGTTACGAATCTGGGGTGATGCTACATAGGATGGGGAAAGGGGGCTGGGTCCAGCATGAGAAGTGTTCTGCACAATTTAAGGCCACGCAACTGTGAATAGGAAAGATGCAGAAGCATTTTTTCACTGGAGACAACCTGTTCTCTTTTTCCTTTTTTTTTTTTTCCCCCCTAATCCTCTAATTCAGCAAAGAAGCCTTCCTCCTTGGTCATTTCAAAAAAAGCCAGTGTTGAGGGCCTCCTTGTGTTTAAAAGAATTAAAGCACCCAAAAAAGTGATGTCTGCAAAATTCCCTTAAGGGCTACATAGCAAGCCCTCAATTAACAATATCAGGCAATGGCACTGGATAGTGAAGACAGACCAAAGTAACAGTATAAAATAGCCCAAATTTGCTGCCATCCCACAAAACTCAGTAATGTAGGGTGTTACCCAGTTAGTGTGTGGTTCCCACGTGCAAATGAATCTCCAAATTAGTATAAAATGCTTCTCCTCCCTGAGAAGCATTAGAAGTTTAGAGGGGAAGGTTCATACTTCTCACAGCACTTGCAAGTTTGGAGGGAGGGGTATCCAAACCACTCTCAGTTCCAAGAATTCCCAAGGACTCACAGGTCTCACTGAAAGCTGTTATACTCATGCTATGGTTTATTACAGAGGAAGGATACAGATACCAATCAGCCAAGGGAGGAGATGCATGGGGTTGAGTCCACAGGAGCATCCAGATGTCCTCCTTCTGTGGGGTCAAGAATACTGCTAGCACTGTGTGACAATACACATGGAAACTTACCTAAGTTTGGTGTTTAGGGTTTTTCTAAGGGGGGGTCCAAGTGGCTGCTTTGTTTTCACCCCTGCTGGAGCTGAGCTGATACTACGTGACCCCAAGTCCACAATGCTGGTGTGGCCTGAAGCTCTCACCCCAAATCACATTGTTGGCACTGGTTGGCCAAGTACTTCAGGCCAACAAAGATGGTCTTATCAGTATCAAGCATGACAATTCCAAGGATTTAGAGATTGCCGCCCAGAGGCAAAGATCAGACCTCTCTTGGACAAGGTGTAATTCTTTTTTATGGGGCCAATGGGAGGCATAGCGGTTATGGTACTAGACTCCCACATGGCTGACCACAGTTCAAGTCCTGAACCTGGTGCTTGAAAATCATGTTGGGCACATGTGTGTGTATGTCCAAAGTCCCAGGAGGAGAATGGAGAAGGGATCACGATGTGGCCATCTCCTCTGGGGAAGGGGGATGATTGCTCACTTTCCTTCTCATTGTCTCTGTCTCTCGGGTGAGTGCACATGCCTTATGAGAAAAACCTTTAAAAAATTATTATCTATACACTCACTCCCCCCATTTTCTTCTCTCTCTCTTTTTTTTTCTTCTCTTTCCTTCTTTCTATTTATTTGTTTGTTTATTTATTTATTTTGCCACTGCACTAAAGGGCCTAGCCAGAGCTGCCAGATGCGACAGCCTGGGACCCCACTGTTCCTAGGCCTGCCCTGGTGCTACACTTGCCACCAACTCTTCAATCTTCCAGCAAGTTTAAATGCAGAGCAATGGCAGCGTGTTCTCACTGCCTTAATGTTTGTGCTTGACTTTCATCAGGTCAAAACATAAAACCCTTGCACTGACCATGACAGCCATTAATGAGCATCTCATGATTGCCCTTCTTTCTCCCTCCAATCCCTCCTGTAATGGAAAGTGAGTGTGTCCTCTCTATGAGACCTTCATCAAAAACTTGCTTCCCTCAGTTTATAAATTTCTAAATGGGGCCAGCCAGTGACCCAACTGGC